TATATATATATATATATATATATATATATATGTATGTTTATATATGAATGAATTTATGCTTGTATAAGATACACTCACCCTATTTAATTTGATGTGATGAGTATAACTTTATGTTACTGCTTTTATTAAGCTCAATAACCGATGCACTCAGCTGAAAAAGCTATTCTATTTATGCCCTTTACTTTTATTCCTTTCAGAGTAAGACTTGGTCAACTCAAGCGGGACATCAGGCTTTATCTGCCATTCGTATAAATAGCGAATCAAACGTATTGCAAACTAAGATTGCATCTCATCGACCTTTTTTTAAACTGCTATTTTAATGAATACTTAAGAATACTTACAATAGGGTATTATCCGGTTACCAAACACCAATAAATGAACAACGCAAATGTTTTCTTGCCCACATGACGGCAGGAATTTTGTAAATAATTCCTTTTTTCGATGTCAGCCATTGTCTTTTATCAGGTTTTTCCTTTTTTATGAAATGAAAGTGTGATAGGGTTAATTACTTGGTACTCAGACTTATCAAAAGTTTGCCTTTACCGGTTGTCAAGACAGTTAACAACCGTGTGGTAGACGGGAAGTTTAGTTACCTGATCTGGATCGAAGTAAGGCCAGTTGAATTCAAATTATCCAGTACTTAACACTGGGGTCAACTGAATCATCGTAACCAGTCGTCTTCAGCGTTTCCAGGAGGGTGGAATCGAGATCCTGGCCAAAATTAACGTACCGTCCTGGTTTGGAGACTCGAAAGTGATGGTCATATTCGTGGACCGAGCAGTATCTGCCCACACCTGAATAGAGTTGAGCAAGACCGGAAGTCGTGATTGTCCACTAGACGGGACATGTCTCCCACTCCTAAACCGTTTCCGCTATGTCGACGCAGTCGTCTACTCTGGTTTGGCAGACGACCTAACTACGCGTAGTTAGGTAACTTTTCCTTGCGACTAAACCCGTAGGGAGTATAAAACTGCTGGCCCACGACAGTACCTGAGACCTAATCGCAAGGCCAAGATAGTGGTGTAAGGCTACGGTGTTGTCACGAGGCGCATGATACCGTTCTGTAATTCGTTGAAGAGGCTTATACGAAACAGACGGAATCGAAACTACATTAGTGGTGGGATGAACTAATAATTTGGAAGATAAATTCACTATCTTCATGAGGCCAACTCATTTCGTAATGGTTACAGCTCCACTAAGTTCTTATTAAATGCTGTTTTAAATATATTGGGTAGTGAATTTTTTAGTCGACCGGTGACAATTGGCT